TAATAATAATAGTAATAGTAATAATGGAAATTTGAAAATAAAAGCGAATGAAAAGGAAAAAAGAGAAATTAAATGGAAAGGAATTTATTTTTATAAATTTTGAATTAATTTAAAAACCGAAATATAATATTAAATTAGGATTGAACAATGAAAAGGGAAAAAAAATTAATATTTCTTCCACGATATTCTTTATGTGATAGAAGAGAATTATGAAATTTAATTTCATTACGCTTTTCCCAATATGGTATTCGTCTGATTGATTATGCTAATAACCATTGCTATTATTATTTATCATTATTATCATCATTACTGTGATTGATATTATTATTATTAATTGTTATTATTAATAATTATTTTAATTATTATCATTATAATTATCATCATATCCAATACATTTCTTTTACATATATCACAAAATCAAAATAATCAATATAATAATTTGACTATTCAGTTGAAGATTTATAAAATTTAGCAAATTTTTTTTAATGCAAAAATTTCGTATATTATTTATATTTGACAACTTGACGTAGATTTCTTTTTTTATTTAAGGCCTAAAATATATCCTTCTCTTTCGATTCTTTCTTCCTCTTTTACTTCCACTTTTTCCTTTTATTGCCTTATTCATTCTTTTCATTTTTGTCACATTGCAATTCATTTTATCGTCGCTTTTGTTTATTCGTTTGTTTGTTTGTTTGTTCATTTGCTTGTTTTTTGTTTGTTTGTTCATTTGTTTGTTTTTTGTTTGTTTGTTTGTTCATTTGTTTGTTTTTTGTTTGTTATTCGTTCATTTGCTTGTTTGTTTGTTTGTTCATTTGTTTGTTTCCTTGTTTGTTTGTTTGTTTATTTGTTTGTTTGTTTCTTTGTTCACTTGTTCGTTTGTTTATTTGTTTGTTCATTTGTTTGTTTGTTTCTCTGCTTGTTTGTTTGTTTGTTTGTTCATTTGTTTGTTTCTTTGTTTGTTTGTTTGTTTATTTGTTTGTTTGTTTCTTTGTTCACTTGTTCGTTTGTTTATTTGTTTGTTCATTTGTTTGTTTGTTTGTCTATTTATTTGTTTTTTATAGTACTTTCGAAAATAGCTTTTTAATTCATTTGAAACAAATGATTATTTGTATTTCTTTTCAACGCATTTCCATAATCAATACGATAATATTAATGTTTGATAAATTAATAATTATATGTGTCTTCTTGATTTCTTCTATATTTTCAATACATTAAATTACCAAATTATAATAATTGATTATAATCATGTTAATAATGTTAATAATGATTTGTAATGGATAATAATAATAATTGATAGAAATAATAATGATTATGCAATCATGTTGATAACAATAATAAATGATAAAAAAAAAATAATATAGCGAATGATAAATGAAAATATTTGTATTTTTGGCCTTTCTTTTCTTTTCTTTGAAATTAAATCATTAAGCAAATAATTTTAGAAATCTAAATAAACTTTCCAAGTTTGTTTTTCTAAATATATTTTTAAGTTGTAATTAGCAATAATTATCTATTCAAATAAATCATGATATCTCTCATTATGGTATAAGTGACACCCGTAAGATACATAAAATACAGTGATCAATAAAATATATATACAGTGATCAATATCTCTATGAGATGTTATTACTGGTAAAATGATTTAATAAAATTAATTAAAATTCATTCAACATTTAGAAACTAAACTAAACCATTTGGTTGGGTATCGATGCAATTAAATTTTACAATGACCCTATCCGTTGGTAAGTTTATTTGTTTTTCATTTTCGTAAAGTAATAAATGTAGAACTTTGGAATTGTTTACCTTTAGAAAAATGAAAGTTCAATTTTATTAAATGTAAGGGAAATGGGATGAAAGAAATTATAAATACAAAGGTCAGTTTAATGTTACATTTAAAATGTTACAATTTTATGTGAGAATTTGTGTGATCGTTAATTATAAAAACAATAAAATTAACATATTAGTAATTGAGAATAGAAAGAATTAAAAAATTCTTAAAATTATTTTCACCTTTGAAAAAGTTTATTTATTATTTCTATTTTTTTTTTTTAGCGCTGTCATTAATGATGGCATTTATTAGCTCAAATGCGATAATAGAGAAATGTTGTAATTTGTATTCCACCGAAAATATTCAACAAAATGATGGTTATTTGAAAAATTTTATTGACAATACTAATAATAGTAGTGGTAATGATAATGATGATAATGGTAATAATAATGATAATAATGGTAGTAATAGTAATACAAATGATTACAAGTTGATCAAATGCAAAGCTCAATGTGATGCACAATGGAAGAGTGATTTTCATGTTAGTTTTATTTTATTTTAAAATTTTCTTGTTCTTATATTTCGTAATATATTAATTAAAATGATAGCATTATTGATTAATTAGAGGTTGAAAAAAAAAGCATAAATAAGTAAGAAAATTTGAAAAATAATAAATAATTATTTAAGTTTTAATCTTATTTTAATATAACAAAATATATACTATATGAAATAGAAGGAAAAAATAGAATTTGAAAATTTATAATTTAAATCTGCAAAATTTAGCATTGTAATTTAATGTTTGATATAAAAGGATAAGAATTATTTCTTGTAAGTATTAATTCTATATTCGAAATTAAATCATCCAAAATTATTAATTAATAATTAAATTAAATCAATTATTTAATTAAACCAATTATAATATAATTGTAATCAATTATAATCATAATCAATTATAATTATAATCAATTATAATAATTAAATTAAATCAATTATTAATAAATAAATCATAATTATTATTTATTCATCCTGCAAACTTCTTTGCTTAAATGAAATTATTTGTTATTTCAATTGTTTTAAATTATATATTGGAAAATTGAAATATATTAGAACATATTTCTAAATTATATATTAGAAAATATTTTTGTTATATTTAAATTATATCAAAAATATTTAAAGTTTTTTAATTTCTCAAATAAACGAACATATATGGTAGATATTAAAAATGGTTTGAAATTGATTTAATTAAAAATTGATTTTAAAAAATCAATTCTAATTAGTGGTTAATTTTAGAGATGAATATTGTTTTTTGCAAAACAAATAGTAATTTGCTAATTTATGCAAAATTATCGTAAACGAAAAAAATTCTTAACCAATTTTCCGTTTTTCCTTATTTTCCGTTTTTCCTTATTTTCCGTTTTTTTCGTATTTTCCGTTCTTGTATTCAATTATTTTTATTTCTCAACTATAATTTATATTACTAAGCAAGCGTAAGCGAAGCAAAAGGAATTATTTTTAACCATTCAATCATTTCTTTTAAGACACTAAGATCATTATTATATTTGCTACGGAATCCGGAATATAATGTTTCAATCATTTCAGTAAATCTTTATTTTTTTTTCTATCAGTCTAGACTGATTAAAATATTCTCATAATTTTTCCAAATATTATTATTCATTGCCATTTTTCTTCCTCGTCATTTTCCTTTTTAATTTAAATTTGAAATTTTTTATTTACAGGTGCATTTTCAAAAGAATTACGATGAAGAATTTTATGAATTTCCATTGGATAAATTAATTACCACATCATTTGATAATTTTTATACATTTTGTAATATAACAGAACAGAAATTAGCATGTTGGAATATGCGATGTGAAATGATAGATGAAGAGATACCATGGAGTAGTGATTTGCATATTTGTGCTTTTAAAAGGTTGCAATTTGAAAATTCACTTCGTTGTTTGAAGTAAGTTTTGCTTTTTTTTTTCAAAATATTTTATTCAAATTTTTCTTTTCATAAGTTTTTTTCCTTTTTTTTTTTGGGCAAAACTTATTCCAATTGAAACATTCATATTTTAATTTAAATATTTAAATCTACGAACTTAACCCGTTTAAATCTATTTAAATGAACAGATTTCAAATTTTCTACTAACGAAAAAAATTTATGTAAATCTTCTAGTTAATTATTTTAATTAAACCTAATTAAATCTTCTTATACTTAATCATTTTAAATTTATTTAAAATCTTCTATTATTTATCCGTTTAAATCTATAGGAATAAATATATATTTACTAAAGAAAAAGAAATTGTTTAAATCTTATACGTAATTATTTGAAATCTTCTACTTACCCCGTTTAAATCTATATAAATAAAGATATTTCAATTTTCTACTTACTAAAAAATTTATTTAAACCTTCTATTTGATCATTATAAATCTACTCAAATCTTATACTTGAGTATTTTTAAATTTTAAAATATATTATTTATACCACTATTTAAATCTTCTATTTACCCCGTTGAAATCAACTTAAAATAAATTTAAATTTTCTACTTACTAAAAAATTTATTTATATTTTCTACTTAACCATATTATATCTATTTAAATCTTATGCTTAACTATTTTAAATCTATTTAAATCTTCCTATTTATTCCTTATTTTATAAATTTGTCATAATTTTCAACTTGCTTTTCCTCCTTGTTGATCTATTTATGAAAATAGTCGAAAATAATTTCAATTTTTTTCACTTCATTCAATAATTCCTCCAATTTATTACATATAATATATAATTTCAATATATTGAATATATTGATAATATATAATTTTAATATTTATATATATAATAATTGATTGTTTTCAGAAATTAAAAATTATGCTAATTATAAAATTTTCTCATTAAATTAATTCGATTAAAAATTGAGCTAACCCCATTTTTTATTTTAACTAAATACTGTAAATTTGAAATTAATAATTAATAAAATCATTTCAGTCTAACCAGTAGTGGTGCACATAATGAATGCAATAAAATATGTCGTCGTGTTGCACGACGATATCCTACAAATGGAATTGAAAAATCATATCTTCATGACGTATCCGCTAATTTAGCTGAAATTTATCAATACTGGCAATTGAATAAGCAATGTGCTTTTCAAATTTGTCATTTGGAATGTCGAGTAATTTCGTTTTTTTTATTTTTGCGTTTTAATTTTATCATTAAAATAATTAAAGAAGTAAATTATTTAATTAGAAAGCAAATTCAATTACTTAATTAGGAAATAAATTTAATTAAGAAGTGGATTATTTCATAATATTTAGAAGTATAATAATAATTATGGAATTATATGTGATAAAATTAGTATTGGAAATGATGTATAAATTGCAGTGGATAGAATAATCACTATTGTTAAAAAAATATTATCACTAGAAAAGAAGATAAAGTTATCACTAATTAAAATAAATTTATCACTATTCTACTTGATTACATTTTGTTTACTTACTCTATTTTAGTTATTATAAATATTAAAAGAGAAATCAATCAGATGAAATAATTTTAAAAATAGAGTAACTGAAAAAAATATAATCAAATCGAATAATTAAAAATAGTAATTTTAATTAAAAAAATATTTTAATTATTTTTTTGTTTTTTATTCAAAATATAGGAAAAATAATCGAAGTAAAAAATTAATATACTTAATCTGTTCCAGAATGAGTTAATAAAAGGTATGTGTGAAGAAAATGAAACAATTAATGGATTGGATGCAATACAAAGTTACTATCAATATGATCTGCTCGATCAGTTGCGCTCATTAATTGACAGCTCCACCGAGCATTTGTATCCATTAATTTGTCGACTTTATCTTCCATTGCAATATCATTTGGAAGTAAGAAATTTGTCTTTCATTTATTACAAAAATAAATACTGTTATTGGCGTACTATATATGTAGATGCATAATGTATACGATTATGACTAAATGAATACGGTATTTTGCACATTATACAACTATGATTATAATGATGTAATGTTAAACAACTCAATAATTATAATGTTAAACACTACGGTAGAGCATTTATATCAATAATAATAGAACTTTAAGTTATTTAAGTAGTACATAGAATTTTATCTAGGTAACACAGCATTTCAGTATAGTATCTATAGTACGTTGACTCAATCACAGTATTTAGTTATTCATTTAATTATTTACGTTACACAAACTTACTGATTGTTAAATAATTAAATTATTCGTACTGTGATTCATCCATAAATAATTAATTTATTTCAATAGAAAACTTGAGCAATTATTAAATAAATAAGATGTTAAATTTGAAATGAAATTCTCAATATCCAATTTTATCCGCAATATTCCACCTGTTGCATTAAAATCGTTCACTTGAAAATTTCTACTTTTACTGCTATGATATAAAAATTAGCTCATTGTTAAATTTTGACAATATTTTCAAATTTTAGCTAACGAACGAAACCAGTAATGAAATTAAGCGATCAGTCCTAGCTATTAAGAGCGCAGTGAATGGTATCGTTGAAATGATCATCAAATCATGATTATTTATGTGTGAAATTATTATAATTTTTCATCATTATAAGTATGATTATTTACTATATGCACAATCAGTTATATTTCGAATGATTGAAAATTGCTTGAGATGGAACACTCCAATCAAAATTTGAATTAAATGATATCATTTAATCTTTTCTCTTTTGCTTTGCTTAATTTCACGCCTCATTTCAATTTCAAATATGCATGTAAAAATGTCGTTGAAATATTGCTGATAATATATTTTTGGGATTATATGAATCCATTTACCGTATTCTACAATAATAACAGTAAATCTTACGATGAAATTAGCATCTAAAAATCCATTTACATGTCTTGCTATCAATGGAATAAGTCTTCATGATATATCTAACATTTGCAATTTAAATGATTTCTTTCATTATTTCTCTTTTTATTTATTGCTATTGTCTCTAATATAGCTTGTACAGTAATATTTTCGGCAGATACTGTAAAATTTATTACGATATCTTCTGTTCTATTTTTAGGTAATTTCTCGTGGTAAAATATCATGAAAGTTTTAAATATGCAAAAATTCTTTTGTTATCATAAAAACTTTTTCAACATTTAACAAATCTATTTTATTAATATTACTATAAGATTTAAGATTCAATATATAACACCCAATATATTATAAGATTTAATTATAAGATTATGAGATTTAATATATTATAGCTCAATATCTAATAATTTTGCTAAATTTCCATCTTTTTTTCACTCTTTTTTTAATTTAAAAATATTACAAAATTTATTTGGAAATTTAGATTTAACAAATGTAATAAGATATTGTCGTGTCGAATGATACGGAAGAAGAACGCATAAATTATAAATTTTCAACAAATTTTTTCTAATTTCAAAATATACATTTGCAAAAACAAAAATGTTCGATCAAACAATTAACAAAATAATTTTGCAAAAATAAAATTTTAATTAAGGAAAATTTTGTGATAGAAAAAATTGCAACAATTATTTTAGGTAAGAATTTCAAAAATTCAATTACAAACTTTTTTTCCTTTCCTGCATAAATTTGAAAATGTAAATTAATTTTTGAATAAAAACCTAAAAAAGACAGTTGAAAAAGAATGATACTGTAAAATATTAATTAGTTAAAAATTTTTTGAAATTAATTTTTGTGAAAAAAATGTCAGAGAACGAATTTTTCATGTACAAATAATTTTTTCGATTTTCGTAAATTTTCAAAATTTATTTGCAACAAATGAAATTTGTTACAAATAATTGCGATAATGATAATATTTTAGCTAATTGCTATCTAATGGCTTGATAATGATAAAAACTGTTAATTGTTAATCAGTGACTTAAATTGGAATGATTTAAGTTATTGATTAACGATTAATTGTTTTAAAAAAAATAAATGTTAGATCATTTTGTAAAATAAATGTTAGACTTTTTTCTCTCTGCAATGTAAAAATTTCGGTTGATATATATATTTAAGTTTTATTATTTAATTATTTAATTATTACAATTATTTAAGTTTTAGTATAAATGTATGCGATTGATTACTTTTTGTAAATTTATTTTTCGGCTAACGTATTGCATAGTGGCAGAAAAAGAGAAAGAACAAAAATTAAATATTCAAATTTCCTGAATTCGTTAGAATTGATAAACAAAATCAACAAATCGATAACATATATATTTGAGCAATGAATAATATTTACCATCGGAATAAATGATAATAATTGTGAAAAAAAAGCAGCTCTTTTGTTTTTAATTAACAAATGTATGCAAAAATTAAAATAGCAAATGCAATTGTATGATTGAAAAACAATTTAAGAAATTATTTAAAGGGGAGAAAAATGATTTCATATTTCAAATTATATAATCAATTAAAAATTTATAATCTATTAAAAATTTTTTAGTAATTTTCCAAAATGCAAGATAATAATGATGTGTATTGTTAAGCTTAAAGTGAATGATAAATTTCTAAAAAATTATGAAATATTTAATAAATATTTATAATTAATTATTGAAATGTAAAATAAAAACTTTTCGTAATTAATTTAATTAATTAATTTGCATGATAATAATCGATGTGTATTTTTAAGCTTAAAATGAACGATAAATTTCTAAAAAATTATGAAATATTTAACAAATATCTATAACGAATTATTAAAGTGTAAAATTAAAATTTTTCGCAATTAACTAATTTAATTAATTAATTTTTGTCACATTTCTTTTTCCGACAAATTCTTATTAATAGTAAAATAATTATAGTACGTTTCGAATAACATTAAATATTTTTAAAACGTTTAACTAAATTACTTAATTATTTTTATTACTGATATCTTATTAAATCCATATTACGGCGAATATGATACTTTAATAATATGAAAAAATAGTTTAAGTTTAATTATATTTAATTATACATATTATAATATATACTATATATATTATAACTAATATATTATATATTTCAATAATTATAAAAATGCAATTATATAATTATATATGAATAATTATATATAATAATTATATATATATATTATATGTATTTCAAAATAGATGAATGAAGTGAATGCAAAAAGTAGACGAAATAAAGAAGTTCAATTTAAAAATTTAAATTGAAATTTGTTCCAACTAAAATATTTCATATAATATTGCAGGTAATTAAATGAAACAAAGAGTGGCAGCTAAAGAATTCGATATTTCAATAATATGAAAAACGAAAGCGATATTGATTATCGTAATATTTTAAAATTTAAATGACTGAAATATAATAATTGATCAAAATCATATTACTATCGTCATTTATAGGAATGTTTAGGAAGTATATATTGGAAATGAAATACGAAATCAATCAATGCTTAATACAACAATTAAGCCAACAATTGGTAAAACAATTAGGTAAGGCAGTAAGAAATACGGGAACAATAAAAAGACCATGTAATAAGCCAAATATTATTGTTAATATGATTGCTTTCGATATTATAGCATAAATTCCTACAGGTGCAAATAATACTGGTAACATAACAAGAAGTGTTGATATGCCAGCCTGAAATATTTTTGATTTTTATCGAAGTATGAAAAAAAATACCTTTAAATTTTATATTTCAACTAATTAAACAATATTACTAATATTAGAAATAAAAAATTTAGCATAAATTATAAATTTATTAATTAAATATAATCATAATAAGTATTCCGAAACATTTAACTAAAATTACTAAATTATTTTTTTACTGATATTTTATTAAAACGAAATTATTGATTATCCTAAATATTAACAATCCTATAAAATATCGATTTGTCTTGGATATAATCTTAAAAAATACTTTTAAATATTTAATTAAATTACTAAATTGTTTTTTACTGATATTTTATTAAATCCTTACTAAAACGAAATTATTGATTATCCTAAATATTAACAATCCTATAAAATATCGATTTGTCTTGGATATAACCTTAACAGATATTCCTAAACATTTAACTAAATTACTAAATTATTTTTTTACTGATATTTTATTACACTCTTATTAAAATGATATTTTTGATTATCCTAAATATTAGCTATTCAATAAAATATCTAATCATCTTTCAGAATATGAAATAAAATTAACTTGATATATTTCTAATTATACTATCTTCAATTAAATTTTACTTACTTCTTCATTTTCATCTCAATAAAATCATCGCATTAATTTAAAACGAAAATAATTAAATACGAAATTTTGAAATGATTAAAACAAAAGGAAAAGAATTAAATACGAAATTTTGAAATGATTAAAACAAAAGAAAAATAATTAAATACGAAATTTTGAAATGATTAAAACAAAAGGAAAATAATTAAATACGAAATTTTGAAATGATTAAAACAAAAGGGAAATAATTAAATACGAAATTTTAAATTGATCAAAACATAATTTTATATAATCAAATTGAAATTACTAAATTATATGATTTTAATAAATAAATTTTAAAATATGAAAAGAAGAAATGATATGTATATTGTTAAACGAAAAAGAAATTTAAATAAAATTTTTTCAACAATGAAATAATTTACTTGTAACATTGGTAAGGCACATGTTTCAAATGAAGCGTTAATTCGTTGTACAACATCAGTATAATCATTTATTATATAGTGAAAAATGATATGTACAGTGCAATCAATACTTAAAGCAGCTGTCATCAATATTGCTACCATTAATATTGGATCCAAAAAGCAATTCCAATATTGCAGGAAACCGACAACACCTTAGAATTATTACAAATTTTTTTTAGCATTTATTTGATATTTAATTAAATAATTAATTTATTAATTTAATGATTTCATTTTATTCATTCAATTTGATTTTAATTAATTTAAAAAAAATTCGAAAAATTAAATTAATTTGGAAAATCGGAAAAAAATCAATTGCTTATTTTGCATTATGATTCATTAGAGAATACTATAATTTTGGTGTCAATTAGAAATGTTTTGCAACACTTTTAAAACTTACAATTTTGCAACAAATACATGATTAATGATAATTTCATTTAAAAAATAACTTACCTGCACTAATTGATATAACTGATAAGGTAGCAAGAATGGATGCACCAATATTAGAGGAAAAAATAAAACATATTGCACCTATTGCACCAAATGTAAATAATATTGTTCTGAAAAAATTTAATTTTATTAAAATTTGATATTATTAATAAAAAATTATGTTTAAATGTTATATTTTGAAATTTTCTATTAATTGCGTTTTTCTTAATTAAAAAATTAATGATTTAATTGTTTTTGCAAAAAATTATTAGTGGAAAAAGTTGTAATTACTCAATAATAATTCAATAGTAATTTGGAATTTTTACTATTTCATATTTCTTTTCTATTCAATTTCATCGAAATTAATCAAATTATGATTAATTTTTTTTTAATGAAATTAGATATGTGATATATACATAATTATAATTATATATATAATTATAAATTGATGATTGAAATTAATGATTTATCATATTTATGTTTAAATTCAATTTATTGCAAAATAACAAAGTTGATATTTTACTTGATAGTTGTTGAAGGTACAGCTAATATAACATCAATTAATTCGGCATCCGTATCAAATGGTATCATATCATATTGCGGATAACGTGTGCATATCTCACGGCATGAACGTAATAATTTTGCTTTTTCAGATAATGATGTGGTACCATTAAAACCCATTATCAATAACATCGATGTTATCACAATCCTTTAAGATAAAAATTATCAAATATTATTTATATTGATATTGATACAATCTTTCTTTTAAAAATGAAAAAAAGAAAGGAAATATTTTTTTTAGTATTATATTCATTACATAAATGACAAATGTTAGAAGATAATCAAATATTACGAATTTTTAACAATCAGATACTATTTTAATCGTGATTATGATTCATTAGCATTATTTTCATCATGATTACGATTTACTATCAGTATTATATTAACACTATTCATAATTAATATTAATTATTAATGTTATAAGCAAAAAAAAAACAAAAGACAGTCGTCGTTAGTATTAGGGTAAAAATGAAAAATAAAATTTAATAAAATTTAAATAAGAAAAATGAAATTTAATGAAAAATTTTACACTAATACTAAATTTTACACTAATACTAAAATTTTAATAAGAAAAATAAAATTTAATGAAAAATAAACAAAATTGAACTTCTTTATAAATGCGTTCTCCAAATACATTCTACTATTTTCTAATACATTATTTTATGGTATACAATTAATGAACTAATAGATTTAATATACATTTTAATATTTATTTTCATATCATTCATTCACTTAGTATTTTAATTTGAACAAAATAAAAATTTTAGGTCCAACCTATTTTGTGAATCTCGCATGTAACGAATGCCAAGTTGCCATGCTGTATATGGATCGGTATTAATGAAGAAATCAAATTGTGACATATCCAAACCTTAAAAAAATTTTTTGCACTGTTAAATTACTGCGGAAGTTTCATTTCTTTCTTAGAATTCTAATTCATTCTAATTATTTCATTTAAAATTCGAATAATTAATTAGCTATTACAGTTAATTAAATTGTTAATCCATAAAAGTTCATTAATATGATAATATTGTCAAACAAAATAGCTCGATATTTTGATAGGAAATCAATAGTGCACCATTTTCCATATAAACCGATTCATTGACTTCTGCAGCAGAAATTCCAAAAATAACATCAAGTTTGGTAGCATACGGATTAGCAAGATATTGTAAATAATCTTTTACCCAATGCATCGTTGCAACTGACCCTAATGAATTTTCTGATTTTTCCATTTCTTTAACCATTAGCTGAAGTTTTTATTAATTAAAAATAATATTAATTTAATTTGTTTCAGTTCTTAACTAGTTTCTATGAAAATCAAAACTTGTTGGATTTATGAAAAATGAAATTTGTGGAAATTAATATTTGTTCAATTTCAAATTCAAACTACAATTTGCATGGACTCGGAAATTCTCAAGACCTTCAATTCAAACATAACTTAATCTTATTTATTATTGATTAATTTCAATTCAAGCATAACTTAATAATCTTATTTGTTATAATTTAATTTCAATTCAAACATAACTTAATCTTTTATTTATTATAATTTAATTCCAATTCAAGCATAACTTGATTTCTTTTATTATAATTTATTTTCAATTCAGTTATTATTCCAATCATTTCATTTCAGTTTGCTTTTTTTGATAATCTATTTTCATTAATTTTAATTTCGCTTAATATTATTAGGTTTTAAGAATTATAAATTAAATTTACCATAAATAGTTAAATTAATATATACGACGAAGAAAAAAAGAAAAATTAAATACTTTGAAATTAAATTAAAGTTAGTCCATTAAAAAGCAATTTAATACTCTCAAAAGTTTTTTTAACTCTTTAAAACAATTCATTTACCGTAAAATTTCGATATTCAATAGGATTGGAGAAATTTGGCGGTTTCCGGATAATATAATTGATGCTTAGATAATCCGGCCAAATCTATAAGATAGCAATTTTTCCTTGTTTTGACGATTTTGAAATTAATTTCGGAAAATTTTTAAAAAGCTAATTGAAGATACGTCATATAATTTACATGCATAATATAAGATACATCGCATAATTTACACGCATTATAAAATGTTTTAAATTTCATCTATCAAATTTGAAATTACTTAAATGTTGGAATGAAGAAGAGAAAGATAAAGTAATAAAAAGTTTAAGGTATATTTTTGTATTGAAACGATTAAAGAGAAAAAGAGAAAATGAGGAAAAAATTTCTTATACCTTTAAAATATTTCAAAATGCGAAAATTAATTTTTACTTACAATTTCATCCATTATTCGAATTCCTTCAAGACTTTTTGAATTTGGTGGCAGCAGCATTTTACCATCAATATCTGTATCCAATGCTTGTATTCCAGTTATTGCAAAATGATAATATGAAATTAATAATGCAATAGCAATAAGTATGGCCCAAAAAGATGTAACGAATTGACTGTAATCTAAAAAATTAACCATAATTTTAGGAATGAATGAAATAAACAAAGAAACGAAATAATGAATGTTAAATTTTATAGTTAGCAATTAATGAAAATTAATTTGTAAACAATTTCGTTCTCAATTGCAATCGATCGGTAATAAAAGAGTGCTAAAAAAAAAAATGAACAAAAACAAAAATTTCATCAAATATTACATAAATATTTTTAAATAGAGTTAGATTTTTTAATTAAATCAAATTTTAATTGTTAATTAATTAAAAATTTAAATTAAAAATTTTTTACATTTACAAATTGATGAAACATTTTGCCTCATTCGTTCACATAATGTTGTTTGATCTTTTTTGATTTGTTTATAGATGATAACAGGATCACCATGAGTTAGCATCACTTGAAGTGGAGCATAGAAGAAAAGCTAACAAACGAAATTAAAGTTGTAAATTAGAGGAATATTAAAATTTCAAAAAAAAATTTTTATTGTTTTTACGAATTCATTAAAATAATTTCATATGTAAGCATTTAATTTTGCTTTCTTTATTTATATGAACTTAAAATTTAACCAAAAATTTTACTACTATTTCAATTTTTTTTTTAATTAGAAGAGAATTAATTAATTATTTTATTTGCTAATTTCTACTCACTTGGAATAATAAATCAAGCAACATGGAAAGTGATGCTGTAGCACAAAAAAGTTGCAATTCTGATGCTGATTCAATGCAACCCAATGCAAATCCAAGCGAATTTGTTAATGAAGTAACTGCTATGCCTATTCCAACCTTTTCTAGTACAAATTGTAACCTAAAATTAATTAAACTTGCAGGTTAATTAGCTAATTTAAAATATGAACAATAAATTTTACCTGAATTGTTTAATTAAAAAAAAGTAAAACAAATTTATTTTTTAAAAAAAAATTAAAAGAATTAAATTTAAAATTTAAATTAAATAACCTTTCAGCAGCTGTTAAGGCATGGGGAAATACCATCGATTTGAGCCAGGTATTTGTTATTAGAAATGCATCATCAACACCTTAAAATTAATTTTAAAATTAGTAAATTATATTTTGTATATTGGAAATGGTTTTTTTTTGCATTTGGATGAATGGAAAAATATATCAGAGATTTAAAAGAATAAATATAAAAGTTGAAAATAACAATTTGGATATATTGGATAAATAATAAACAAATCAAAATAATAAATAATTGGATATATCGGATAAATAACAAACAAAATAAAATAATAAATAATTGAATATATTGGATAAATAATAAACAGAACAAAATAATAAATAATTGGATATATTTCATAAAATAAACAAAACAAAATAATAAATAATTGGATATATTGGATATATAGTAAACAAAATAAAATAATAAATAATTGAATATATTGGACAAATAATAAACAAAACAAAATAATAAATAATTGGATATATTTCATAAAATAAACAAAACAAAATAATAAATAATTGGATACATTGCATATATAGTAAACAAAATAAAATGATAAATAACTGGATATATTGCATAAATAATAAACAAAACAAAATAATAAATAATTGGATATATCGAATAAATAACAAACAAAATAAAATAATAAATAATTGAATATATTGGATAAATAATAAACAGAACAAAATAATAAATAATTGGATATATTTCATAAAATAAACAAAACAAAATAATAAATAATTGAATATATTGGACAAATAATAAACAAAACAAAATAATAAATAATTGGATATATTTCATAAAATAAACAAAACAAAATAATAAATAATTGGATACATTGCATATGTAGTAAACAAAATAAAATAATAAATAACTGGATATATTGCATAAATAATAAACAAAACAAAATAATAAATAATCTAAAATTAATGCCATATAAAGTTAATGCTTTTTTTTTGGAAACTTTTAATAATTAAACAATTATTTTAATTGATAATTTTAATTTATTATATTTAGAAAAAAACATACTATTAACATGAAAAAGTTTTTATTGTTAAAGGAAGATAAATAGAATGGAATAAAAATTGAATAAATAATAAACAATAGAAAGTAATTATTAAAATAAACAAAGATGAAAAAGAAAATCATGTTTCATTTTGTTTATTAATAGTTTATTAATATTAAATTATTGTTTATTGATATCGATAGGTGGAATAAAATGAAACAATTAGGATAATTAGATATTATGCAACATTTTCCGATTATAAACGGAACTATCCGAAACATGCAGAATGCAGTTATATCAATTAGCAAATAACTATTTCATTACTTCAAATTATTGCTAAATAGTTATTAATAATTATAATAAATGTGATATGGATAAAAAAGCCGAATAATAAATTTTAATTATAATGAAAATTAAAGAAGACAGTATTAAATATGCGTTAATAAATAAAAATGAGGCTAATTTGAGGTAAGTAAATTAATTAAAACACAGTAATATATAATTAATACATTAATTTATGCAAATTCTGTTGAGGAATGTTATTATCATTTCGATTTTTTGTTTTCTATATCTATAATCATAGTTAAATTAAGCAAAAATTCAGCAAAACATAGGAAAAGCAAAGCGTATACGATGGCATACCTATACCTGTAGCTAATGTTAAAAATGATGAAACGAGAATTAACATATTGATATGATAACCAGCCAGAAGCATTAAACCAATGCTTGATACAGCTGCTAGGATTGGTGAAATGATCGCTGCGAACGGTAAAATTAGTTGCAAACGTCGCATTGGATATGAATAATATAATGCTGCCAAAATAAAGCTTGTAACAACAAATATGATCAATAATAGAGCTCCTGAAACGAGATCAATTGATTAGTGATAAGAAAAAATGATATTACTGCTTATTTAAATTAAGATTGAATTATTAAACATCATTATCTCTATTTTTTATTGTTAATTAAAAAAAATTATTATTACAATTAATTATTATTACTATTATTATTATTGCTGCTGTTATCATTATAATTATTGTTATGAATTATTAAACATCGTTACCTCTATTTTTATTGTTAATTAAAAAAATTATTACAATTAATTATTATTATTATTATTATTGCTGCTACTATCATTATAATTATTGTTATTTTTATTATTATTTTTCCAAGTTATAATTAAAATTTCTGGTAGTATCATTATATATTTAATTTAAGATTGAATAATACAACAATATTGCTATTTATTTATTATAATTAAATTATCCAGTGATAACAAATATCTGCTCAAATTATACATTTCAATTTAAATTTCTTATTAATCTTTATTTCTGATTCAGTCATAAATTGAAACTTATATTTGCAACTGAAAATTTAGTTAAAATATGAATTGATAGTGAAATTTGAAATTGATCAATCGTTATCTTCCTTTTTCTGTTAACTAAAACAAAATAAATAAATAAATAAATTAATTAATTAATTAATTAATCAACAAATATATATATAAAACAAAAAGTAACTATATATAAATGGAAATTTCCTTTCTATTATGCAACAGTTAAAAAATTAAAAATTAAAACCTCTAAAATAATAAGGAATTAAAACCTGTGAAATAATAAGGAAGGACTAATTGAATTCCTTGACGTATTTCATTGTTTACTGTATGCACACCATGTACAACAAATGTTACTGTATTATTTGGATTATCATTATGTTTGTGTACTTCTCTGAAATATTCGTTTTATAATTTCATTGATAAATATTGCTTAATGCTTTCTCAATTCTTATCACACATTGAAACTTATATTTGCAAAATGAAAATTTAATCAAAATATAAATTGATAGGGAAATTTAAAACCGATCGATCGTTATATTCTTTTTTCCATTTTTTTTAATTATATTAATTATAATAATTTTAAGTGTGATAAATTTCAGTTATATTTTAAGGTTTACAAAAATAAAATCAATAATTTATTTATTTCTTCTATTTGAGGAGTAAGAGAAATATTATAAAAGAAAAAGAAGAACCTTGAAACTTCTTCTTCAAATATATTCAATTGTTTTTGTTTATTACTATCTGTGATAAATGTTGTAAAATATATTGCTATAGTTCCAACACCAATTACAATACCTATAAAAAGTAAAATTAAATTTAAAAAATGATTTAAACAAATATTTTGTTTAAAAAATTGTTAAACCGATTAATCATTAAATAATTACATTTAATTAAATCATTATTGATATGGCTGGCTATTAAAAGTTTGCGAATTCTAATTAATCAAAATTAACAAAAGTAAATTCCATGATTAATCGTAATATATATATACTTCCTCCGCTTGACCAATTCGATAATTTTGAATGAATTTAAAAAACTAAAGAAATTAGTTACATCTTATAAATATAGCAAATGAACAAATACCTATACTAAGCATATATAAAATTAATTTTTAATTAGCAAATGAAAGAATAAGAAATTAAATAAAGGAAAATTAATTGAGATAGGAGAATTCATTACTGATAATGAGGTTTATTGTATTATCAGTAAATGATAAGAATCGAAATTGAATAAAAGAAAATCATTCAATACTAATATAAATAAAAGAGAAGAAATTAATATCAAACTGTTTTAATTTTCAAAATTTCATTCACATGATCAGTTCACTTCAAATTTATTGAAATTTAAAAAGTTTATTTAATTAACCTTTTTCATCAATTGTACGATTAAAAAGATACCGGCCAATGTTCACCTTATATGGACCAGCTATTGATAACGGATAAAACATTTTGAAAAATGATTGATAACTCTGCAAAGAACAAAAATTACTACAAATTGTTTATTAGAAAAATTAGTAAAATAAATTAAGCATTTGTCCTAAGTTTAAGAATCAACAATTTCTTTTCACTTTTATTAGTTGCATGAAATTATGATTAAAATTAATCTTAAAAAAATAAATGAAATAATTTGTTTGAAAAAGAAAAAGAAGTAAATCAAGAATAATTACAAATTATAACTATAAATTCATACCAATAAATTATAATTATAAATAGAAAAAAAAAAGTGAAATAATTCTAGTTATAAATTACAACTACAAATTCATGCTAATAAATTATAATTATAAATAGGGAAAAAAAAGTAAATTAATAATAATTATAAATTATAACTATAAATTCATATCAATAAATTATAATTATAAATAGGAAAAATAAATCAATAATAATTATGAATTATAAATATAAATTCATATCAATAAATTAATATCAAACTGTTTATAACTATAAATTCATATCAATAAATTAATATCAAACTGTTTAAAAGGAGAAAAAAAACAAATTCATTAATTATTAAAAAAAAAAATTAAATTATAATTATAATTGAAAGAAAACAACAAAACAAATTCATACCAAAAGATTCCAAAGTTGTGAATTAAAATTACAAAATGGTTCACATAAATCATTTCGATAATGTACGGTTGTTTTATTAACATTCACTGGCATAGTTTGGGTTATATATTTATAAAATGTTGTTAATTCATCGACTTTTGTTGTTTCCAAAATCGATCCATTATTTGCTGTTGCAAATAGTGCCATATACCATGGATCACCCTGTATCATGAATTTAATTAATCTTTTATTTTTGAACAATATGTTGGATTGATAATTGATAATTAAACTTTAGCTACTTATGATAGTTTATCATAATGATATTTGATATGATAAAAATTATGAACATATTTGTTAAAATAAAATAAAAATTAAATTATGATTACTTCATTCATATTTCATATGAAATACTTCATTTATCATATGATAATTTATTATCTTATGATACTTATGATACTTTATTAATGTTATTCTTTATCAAATTATGATAATTAATTGCCTAAAATTTTCTGATCATTTAATCGAATTCAATTGTCAGTTGATAAATTAATTGAAATAATAATGATATAAAAATTAATATTATTATGCTAACGAATTTTGATTTCATTTAATCACTGATAACTTTATTTATTATATTTATACTAATCATACTGTTACAGATTGATAAAACGAAATAATTTCCTTCTTAATTAAAATAACAATTATTAATTTATCTTCAATTATTTTATTATCTTGTGATTTCCATCAATAATATGAATAGAAATGCAATTGCATAAAATAAGGATAACATATATTTTTTTTAAATCTCTTCAATAATTAATTAATTAATTAAATTATATACCCAATTAAAATATTATGGAATTAAAAAGTGAATGAATGAAATGAAGTACCGTATTATTGAAGAAAAGTTTATGAGCATTGATCTCTTGTACTGAAGGAGTATCACTACGACTAAAACCTGATTTAATATCCATTCTTATATCTAATCTAAAAATGACAATGAAAAAATTTCATTTCCAATTTTTTTTCCTAAAATTAAACTTTCAATTTAAATTTAAAAAACCTAATTAAAATGAAAAATCTTTTCACCGATATTTCTTTAATTATAATTTAACAAAAAAAGAATTACAAATTATAAAATTATTAAAATTAATTAAAAAATTAACCTGAATAAAGGTCCAAGAAGTGATATAGCTGAAAGTGTAAGTGATAAAAATATAAAGAGAATTGGATGTGAACCAATTGTATGTCCAAGTAATCCAAATATATTATTCATTATTAATGAAATAATTTCGATGAAATAATTGAATTCTGAAATGCGATGAATTATTTATTATTATTTTATAGTAAAAATTCTTCCTAAAAATAATTCTAAAAAGAAAAATTATAATTTCAAACGAATAATTAATTAGTTTGACTTATTTTTATTTTAAGTAATTTCTGCAAAATATACAACAAACTTTTTAAAAGCAGAAAGAAAAGATTTAATAATGCAATAAATAATAAAATTAAATAATAATATATTTAGGAGTTTTAATTTCGATTAATGTAAATATTTGAATTAAATTTAATAGTAATACATTAATTAATTATGCAAATTTATAATATCGTTACATAAATATGTTCAAATAGCCCGCAATCCATTTATTTTATCGGTCATATGGAAATAAATGGTATGGTTGGTGGGAGAGAGATGGAAGAACGCGGGTGGAAAGTTGAAAATTGCAGGAGAAGGATGATGAAGAAAGGAACGAAATATGATGAGGATATCATTGAAATGATATTTTGCAAAGGAGTTACATTTTAGAAATTTAGAGATGATCGATAGAGGCCAAGGTTAACTAACATCAGAGATTATTTACATTCTACAATTGGTCCAAAAGTCAATAGAGAATGAAATTTTCGTGCAATTATGTGACATTTAGTGCATTGGATTATATCATATAAATTTATATATTTCAGTTAATTAAAAATAAATTCATATATTTCAGGTAATTAAAATAAATTCATATATTTTAATTTAATTAAAAGAAATTTTCGAAAATTTAAATACAATTGTTTTTCATGAAAAATTAGCTATTATGAAAAGGAAAAGGTATAAGAGAATGATAATAATAACAATTCATTGTCTATAATTAATGATCTTTGATCAATAATTAATGCTGAATTATTAAGTCAACAATATGAAGAGCGGACAAAAAAATATTCCAATGCATTTCTTTCGAAATCGAATGATTTGAAATAATATAAATTATTATAAAAATTTATATATATACTAATTAATATATTATTATGAAATGTTAATATGTAAATATAAAATAATAATAGTGTGAAATTTATTTTTTATTTTATAGTACAAAATTTATAATATATAAAATATATTATATGATGCTATATTATATGAATTTCATTAATTTAAATTATTTTGAAGCTATTGTATGATAGAAGAAAGGAACAAATTATTAGCAAACATTAAATTACTATCAAAAACTTTCAAAATTATTAAGCTTAAATTATTTTTAAAACTATCAAAATTCGAAACTAAGAAAATCCAACTAAATATATTATAGTATAAAAATAATAAATTATAAATTATCAAACTTAAATGACGAGAAATTTTTGTAACAGCTATGCACATATATTTATTTATTATATTATAAACAAGCAAATCATACAGCGTGATGATAGCAATTTAATATCAATTGATAATTAAAATTTAAAAATAAACATAAATCATTCGTGCTGATAAAATAATCAGTTAATTATTTCAGATTCCGATTAAAATAATCAGTTAATTATTTCAGATTTCAATGAATAGCCATATTATCTTATTTATCAGTTAAGAACAAGGATATGTTAGAAAAAAAATTGCTAAATTTAAAGATATGCATAAGTCATTCGCGCTAATAAAATAATCAGTTAATTATTTCAGATTCCAATTAATTAATCCCAATGATTAGTCATATTATCTTATTTATCAGTTAAGAACAAAGACATATTATAAAAATGATTGCAAAGACATATTATAAAAATGAAAATGATATTAGAGAGTATTTTAAAAAAAATGATAAGATCACAGGAACAGTTGCTTTTCCCAATTCATTAATATCCCGCATCATTAATCTTTCCTTCATCCTGTTAATAATCATGGTATTTAACAGAAAATGTTGAAATTTTTAAAAATCAACAGGCTAAGAATAACATTGATAGTTGTGAAAGAAATGATAATGATAGTAATAGTATTGAAAATAATAATAGTGATTAATTAATTAAATAGTTAGCTAATTAGTTAATAATAATGATAAAATGATAATAATGATAATAGTAATGAAAATAAAAATAAAAGTACTAATTAATTAATTGATAATAATAATAAAATTATAAGAATAGTAACAGTAGTAAAAAAAATAATGATATTATCAGTTAATAATAATGGTAATAGTGATAATAGATGTAATTATTTAATTAGTTAGTCAATAATAATAATAAAATGATAGCAATGATAACAGCAATGAAAATATAAATAGAAGTACTAATTAATTAATTGGCAATAATAATAATAAAATTATAATAATAGTAATGGTAGTAAAAAATGCGATATTATCAGTTTATAATAATGCTAATAATGATAATAGATGTAATTATTTAATTAATTAGTTGATAATAATTATAAAATGATAATAATGGTAATAGTAATGAAAATAAAAATACTAATTAATTAATTGACAATAATAATAATAAAATTATAACAATAGTAAAAATAGTAAAAAAAATAGTGATATCATCAGTTAATAATAATGGTAATGATGATAATAGATGTAATTATTTAATTAGTTAGTCAATAATAATAGTAAAATGATAGTAATGATAACAGCAATGAAAATATAAATAAAAATACTAATTAATTAATTAATAATAAAATTATAATAATAGTAATAGTAGTAAAAAAAATAATGATATTATCAGTTAATAATAATTGCTAATAATGATAATAGATGATTTTGTAATTTAGATGAAAAATTTACATGAATGATTGAAATATTTCGCCGGCTAAGAGGCTAAGAGCAAAAATTGCAGAAACAATGAACGTTAGCAAATTGAAGAAATTTTTGTGATACATACATAACGATTAGATAATTTATATATTTTAAATGTTAAGCTTAAAATTTAAAATTCTCATCTTTTTCTTAATACTCTCTTCTTTTTTTACTTTTCTCTCTCATTCCTTCTTACCACTCTTTCTTCCCTATTTCATTCTTNATAACGATTAGATAATTTATATATTTTAAATGTTAAGCTTAAAATTTAAAATTCTCATCTTTTTCTTAATACTCTCTTCTTTTTTTACTTTTCTCTCTCATTCCTTCTTACCACTCTTTCTTCCCTATTTCATTCTTTTCTTTTCAATCTGCTTTCTTCTATACCATCTTCACTCTATCAATAGCTGTCAGCAATTGTTTAGTAATAATAGTACATAAATTAGTATTCCTTCATTTCTATAAGAAATTCCAAAATTTCAAATTAATTTTTCATTTTCTTTTCTTTTCCACCTTTCGTTTTCATTTTAAATTTTATATGATGATGAAAAAGAATGAATAATTAAAAGAAAATGAAAAAGATAGAAAATTATTGTTAGTTATGAGTAATTTGCTTAGGTAATTAATTAATTAATCAATTAATATCACCTTTTTAATTTAAGGTCAAATTCTCTTTCCAATTTTATTATTTACTCTATTTTTCAAGGATGATCGAACAAAGAGGAATATTATTATTGGTTGAAAACAAAAGTACATTTGAACTGCTTAGTTTAATAATATTGAAAATGGATTTTTAAATAGTATTATTTAATCAAATAACAAAGAATAACAACTTTGCTAGCTTACGTCATTTGAAACTAATTTGCTTTATTTACGTAATTATTACACAAGAAACCTGAAAATAACTCAATCTTAAAAGGAATTCAAAACCGGTTTGATGGGAGTAAGTATGTAACATATTCAATTTAATTCTATGAATGAAATTGATCTGATAATTTTTTTCAACGAACAATCGTAATTTCGATGTTTATTTTTTGCTAATTGTTCTTTTTCAACTTTATGTTACAGCAATAAAATAATTTCATTAAAATATTAACATAATTAGTATACAATTTTATTACCTCTGATTATATATTATCATTGATATAATCATCAAAAATGCATATTTAGCACATAGGAGAGCATTATTATTACTATATTATTATTATTATTATTAT